ATCATCTCATGAATATTCTTGCATATATATATACTCATCTTCACATATATGCCATCTCATATTCATAACTCATTCATTTCTCATCTTTAAATTATGAAATTTAACAGTCATAATCTCAACTTCTAAATAGACATGTCATCAAAATTTCATAATTTAATCATTCATATTCATCAAGTTATGAGAATTTAAAGTCATAGTGAACATAAACTTCATCTTACATGTTCATCTTCAAAAATTCATAACTTAAGTTATACTATGCCAAATCACTCAATTCTTGATCTCATGTACTCCTCTTTTACACAAGAATTATTCATTTAAATCATACTTTTCCAGCATATTCATATCTTCATGAAAATCTCATGCAAATCAACATCTCATTTCATTAAGCACATATATCACATAATTGATCTTTAACATCTTTAACTCATTTTATCAATTATAAACTCCAACTTCTACATCATGATATACATACTCATAAACATGTAAACTTATCATAAAAGCATGAACTCAAATATGAAACATTAAGATAAGTAAATTACCTCCTTCTAGGTGAAGTTAAAAACTTGATTCTTCACTCTAATGTCCTTACTTCTCCAAAGTTACTCCTTCTCACTCTCTCTCACAAACTCATATGACTTTAGTAATTATTTTGGTGTAAAAACTCTAAGGTTTAAGCCTCTATTTATAGGCACAAATTGGAGAAACATCCAAATAGAGTGATTAAATGATCATAATATAAAATTTAACTTATAAACTTAAATAATCTTTAAAATATCTTATGATTTACTTATTCATCCATCCAAAGCATATTTAAACATCAAAAATGGCCTTTGGTTAAAGTCACAATCGAATTCTCAATAATCCAATTGGACTGTCGGCAACACGACTCGTGTGGGGCAGTCACACGACTTGTGTGGCCTCACACGACTCGTGTGCCTTGCCACACGACTCGTGTGGCTTGCCGACACTTTTGCTCTTAATCATTCATCTTCTCACACGACTCGTGTACTATATCACACGACTCGTGTAGCTTCACACGACTCGTGTGGCTAATCACATGACTCGTGTCAAAATCCCGAGGCTAACTTTCATCACATCTCCATCCCACACGACTCGTGTGGCTTCACACGACTCGTGTGTTTCTTCACACGACTCGTGTGGCTTGTTCCTTGAAAATTCTTAATTTCAGTCCGATAACTTACTATCTTGGACTCGAAATCACTTATTTCTTGGAACAATAACTCATAATAACTGAGATAACTGAAAGGGATATTACATATTCTTTGTACAAAACATAAAACACTTATTTTCTCCAGTATATGTACGCCTCAATATAACATGGTTTTTTTTTCGTTATATGTACAGAATATGTTCAGTATATGAACAAAGAATTTTATTTTTATTTTTATTTTATATGTCTTTTTAACATCTTTTGTTTTTGTTTATCACATGTGTTTTTTTTCTCTCATTACAAGTAAAATGGTTATGTATTGCATAGTAGAGAGGAAATAATATTTAAATTGAATAATGCCAAATGGAAAATAATTTGTATACAAACCATCTATGAAACATCACAATCAATGAAGTTTCAAATGGCATCCATAAAATGTTATTTCGCTGGGTTCCTACAAGTTTTGACATTATGACCTTTCTCATTACATCTGTCGCATCTGTTTTTCGATCTATGCTCCCATCCCGACTTGAATCGTTGCTTTCGTGGGCGTCCTGCCCGAACTCTAGCATCTGGAGGATTTATTTGACGTGTGTTAGGTTGCGTGTCTAATGTGACATACGAGTTTCCTTCTATAGGTATGACCGCTTCATCATATGTAGCCAACATAGTTGAGGTTAAGTAGTGTACTGAACAAAAAGGAATTGGATCCAAGTGGAGAGACTTTATCACGCGTATAGCATGTGGGCATGGGAGTTCATCCATTTGGAATCGGTTGCAAGTGCAAGTCTTTCCATCTATATCCACTATACATGCGTTTCCATCAGATAAGACCTTGAAAATCTTGTCACTTGCCTTCTGAACCTACGAAAAAAAAAAAAACATTTATAATATCCAAAAGTATATAAAAGATATATTTACAGTATGCATATATTTTTATGTTTTACTGAAAATCTTGCAGCTTCCTTATAGTTATTTTCCAACATGTTATGCGGCTTCTTAGCAAGTGTAGTAAATGTTTCCTTCGCCTCTTCTTTGTTTGCAACATTCCACTTCTGTTGCATTTCTCTCAACGATTCTAAGAGTGTTGTTATTGGAAGATCACGAACCGACTTCGTTACGGAATTAATTATTTCAGCAGCGTTTGACGTCATGGTGAAGTACCTATTTTTTGGACAATGAATTCTTGCCCACTTTTGTACTCCAATTTTTTCAAGATACGGTATCACGTCAGCATTAAACTTTTTTATCTCAGCCATGTGCGAATCAAGTTCCTCAACTGTATATGCCCTTGCTGCTGCGTGAAAGGAATCTTTGACCGCTTGCGCTTCTGTTTTATAATGTGTCTTGATGTTATTAGATATGTGATATGTACATAGACAGTGAGCTGCGTTCAGAAATACCTGGATAAAAAAATAAACAAAAAAAAAACTCATATCGTTATATGAATTTAAAAATATTTATCATACAATAATTATCAGAAATAAGCATCAATTTTTAAATATACAATCACTGATAATTTATAATTGTTATTTTTTTAATCAAAATTTAACTACAGCCTTAGTAACATATACTGAAAATAAACGACATATATACTAAACATATACTATTTACCTTTGATACAACATTTTTTATGCTGTCATGTCCGTCTGAAACAATGCATAACCCATCTTTGTCACCAATCAGTGCTTGTAATTTGCTGAAAAACCACAAGTATGACTGATTGTTTTCCGAATCAACGACACAAAATGCAAGCGGAAGAATGTGAAAATTCGCATCTTGATAGCATGCTGTTAACAATATTCCTCGATATGCTGATAATAGAAATGTCCCATCGACAACAACAACAGGACGACAATGTTTCCACCCGTTAACCAATGCAGCAAGAGCCATGAACACTTACAAATTTTTTTTTTCTGATGTTGCACACAACTTCAATATACTTCCTGGATTTGATGCACCTACTTTATCCAGGTATTGTTGAATATAATCATAAGAATCACTAGCCTTTCCACGAACTTCATCTACAGCCTTCTGCTTTGATCTCCATGCCTTGTGATAGGATAAATTTATCCCGTATTTGATTTGCATGTCATCAATGATGTCTGCAGCACTATATGAAGTCTTATTGTTCATGAACTTCAGCTTGATGAGGTTAGACACAACGTTGGAAGTTACCTGCCTTTGATTACTAGCTCGAACATCAAACGGACATTTATGTCCAATTCCAAGCTCTCTTATCATGAAGGTGCTGGAACGACTAACACGCGATGCTTTGACAAACCATGTACAATCGCTATGACTTCTCCACCCGGAACTGATATTGATTCTTAATTGCATGAACACTCATAAACCTCAGCAAAATATTTTTATCCTTGAATGTCACACCAACTGACAATTCAAAGATCAACAGATCTTCAATCGATACAATTTTACCATCAGCCGGGTATATGTCCAGTTTATGTTCGGTATATGCTGCGTCTTCTACCATATCTTCTGCTACTTTGCACGCAAAAGACATAAAGTTCACAGGCCCTTCAAGATTTTCAACATAATTATCAAGAGCAGCGTACCTCAACGGAGCTATATTTCAGTTGAACATCACTTCTTCATTACTCGTGTTCCTCTCAACAGATCTGCACATCTACTGTAAAATTTACTACAACGCATATAGGATACATCGTGTAGTCTGGTTCTCTTGATTACATTTCAATGTAGAACTTGAGACTTTTATCACCCTTTATGCATATCGGTAGAGTTGTCCACGGGCCGAACCGGCCCGGGAACCGACCCGCGAACCGGTCCCTGCCCGAACCGAACCGGCCTCCTATGGGCCGGTTCGTTGAACCGGACCCGTAGGGTCGCGGTTCGGTTAAGGTTCATTTTTTTTTTATTTGGTCCCGGCGGGCCGGGTCGGGCCGGGCCGGGTCGACGGGTTGAAAAACGGCGAGAGTGTATTTTTTAGCGGGCTGCACCGGCCCGGAATCGGCCAAAAACCGGCGGGTCCGTGACCCGGCGGTTCAGGGCCGGTCCGTGACCCGTGGCCCTTAAAAAATACGGGCCGGTCAAGGGTCATGAAATTACGACCCGTGGACTCGGCGGGCCGGGCCGGGTCCCGAATGGCCACCCCTACATATCGGTGGATATAGCTCTTTAAATTGATATTTCAACTCTAAAGTAGAATCCGTTGACGTAACTCCAAGTTCTTCCATTATTGCGCTGCACATCTCATCATAGCATAATTGTTGTTGAACCAAAACACCCGATATCTGGAAATTTTGGTATTGAAACTGGTTCCACTCACCGCTGTGATGAATGATTATCATCATCGGCGAAGCCATCTACAAAAGAAAAAACATAATAAATAAATAAATCGTAGATATTAAACACCGATTTTTTTGTTCATGATATCTTCTAAAAAACGTATATACTGAAAATATTACTAGATGAAACGATTTAGTATACCTTATATTCTCCCGCTGGATCATGAAGAATGTAAACCTTTGTGCTTGATCACGAAGAATGTTTGTTTTTGTCGATCAATCTACTGTTGAAAATTCAGCTTTCAATTTTTTGAAATTGGGTCTATTCTGAAACGGCGATGACGAAGTTTATTTTTTTCTGTCCATGAAAAACGGATGCTCCGTTTTTTCCCTTTTTATTTTATCATGTTTTTCCAAATAAAACTGATCAGAAACGGTTTTGATATGGTAACAGATAAGATTGTATATTTATAATTATTTGCCATTCATTTCGTTGGGATGCTATTTTTTCTCTGATTCGTAGGGTTGCATATAGTTTTAAATCTCGTAGGATACGTTTTTTCACAATGGACGGCCCATGTACAGTATACCACCTCATACCCAGGCCCATTTTTCATCAGTCGCAATAAATGAAAATTAAAATAAGTAAACGACGATGCCCTAGAGTATAAAACCGAAGCAAACGCTAAAGAGAGACCTCAGTTGCTGGCAGTATTTTGACAGTTGAGAGACATTTTCTTAGGTTGAAGAGAAGCAAGAATGTTGCTCCTGTTTGAAACTCCGGCTGGCTTTGCTCTTTTCAAAGTCTTGGATGAAGGAAAGCTCTCCAAAATCGAGGTCTTTTTTTGGCATTGATTTTGTATCCTTGCTACGTTTTTTTCTGGCTTACTGATTTAATTGTATATGTGTATTTCTGGTTTTTGCAGGACCTCGGGAAAGACTTTTCGACCCCGGACTCCGCCAGACAGGTCTTGAGTTTGGATTTGTTTTTGCTTAAATCATGCTGTATTTGCATTTGAGTTGAAATGTGCGTGTGTGTTTGTGTTAGATTGAGTATGGAGAAGTTTGCGCCAGTAATGTTAACATGTCACTCTGAAGACTGTAAAATTCCTAAACTTACCACATGTTAGTTAGAAGTTATTTTCAGTGAAAATTGTGTATCTACTTTGGTCTTATTAGTTTTCTAGAACTATATGAATCTAATCTTTCTAGACTCATTTCTTGATACAAACAGATTGATTTTTGTGACTAATATTGGTTCTCTTAGCATGATGTTGCTAAGCTATGTGATTCAGTTGATTGATCTAATTATTAATATTTTTCCTAATTATCAGGTTGTCAAGCTGAAAGCTTTTTCGAAGTTTGAGAATACGTCTGAGGCTTTATCTGCTGCTACCTTATTAATCGATAGTAAGCCTAGCAAAGGTCTCCGAAAATTCTTGGGCAGCCATTGTGATGGTGACATTTTAGCTGTTGCGGACTCCAAGCTTGGAAACATAATCAAAGACAAGCTGGTGAGTTAGGACTATCACTTTAATTGTATCGTACAATGCTATTATAATGTCTGAATGATTTGTCTGCGGTTGCAAACTGATTATGTTTATGTTGTGTAGCAAATTGAATGTGTTCACAACAATGCTGTCATGGAACTCATGAGGGGAGTGAGGAGTCAATTGTCTGAACTTATATCTGGCTTAGCTTCTCAAGATTTGGCACCGATGAGCCTGGGTTTATCTCACAGCTTATCAAGATACAAATTGAAGTTCAGTCCAGACAAGGTGAATATATAGTAATTTATCTGCAGTAAATTTGTTGTTGTGCCACTAAATGTTTCTGCTAGTTTTTTTGGCATGTTCTGTGTGAGATGAGTTGTGAAATGGGTTTTGATGCTTGAAGATGAATACTATAAAATTTTGATAATGGAACTTGGTCGAAAATTAAATTCTGTTTTTGACAACTTAGAACATTTTGTCTTTCTGAGATGAATTAAAAGAAGTGTTACTTAAGGATAATTAGGTAACAAAAACTACATCAGCATGTGGGTGGTTTGCATGCCTGTCCTGATAGAATATGAAAGACAAACAAACTATGATGTCATCCGTATCTGATTGAAGGAGTACCCAAATTAGAGGTTGGTGCTCATTGCTCATTGCTCATTGGCTGATACTGAGCTTGGGCCTTTTCTGTTGTCTGCTATGTGTAAACATTCTGAAAATAATATTGTTTATCTGCTCTTTGAAATTGGCCAGATTTCATTGCTGCTACCGGAATAAAGTAAAAGGGGGTAGAAGATGATAGGAAATAGAGAACATTTTTATGATCAAGTCTTCATTTTCAAGATCCTCTGTCAATCAGTTGCACATGGAGTGAAATTCGTTCACCTTATAAGTCATAAGTTATATTATCACCCTTTTTGTATCTAATTTCACCCTGTTTGTATCTAATTTCCTCAGTTACATGTCTATTATTATGTTTATATCTTTCCTTTTGTTCGATCCTGCTCTATGGATGCATTTGAAGTACCTAAATTGTGCACCTTATTGCTTATTTATAACTATATATGTGATACATTGATGTATGATCTTTAATTGTGGCTTTTAATGGGTTTCACTCTAGGTTGATACCATGATCATACAAGCTATAAGCTTGTTGGATGATCTTGACAAGGAGCTGAATACATATGCAATGAGGGTAAGGGAATGGTACGGATGGCATTTTCCTGAACTTGCAAAGATCGTACAAGACAATATCATGTATGCTAAGACTGTGAAGTTGATGGGTAATCGAACAAATGCTGCCAAGCTTGATTTTTCAGAGGTAGAGTAGTCTTCGTCTTTTTTCACCTGTCATTATAATTAATGTGGTTATGGCGAATATATTGATGATGCATTGATTTACTATGCAAAACAAAGAAGCAACTAATTACTATATATTTTGTTTTTCCAGAAAACATGTCAAACTCATTAAAGTTTTGCAACTGAAGTCATCCTCATGTAAATCTGTGATATGTATTGCTATTATGTCCTAATGTTTAGTTCTGCCTTTCTATGGTTCTTAGTAACCATTCTGGTTTGATAATGCATGGTCTCAAGTTTATTTTTGTGCCAGTCTATACAAAGTAAAGGATCTCATTTCTTTCTATGTGGGACTTGAATTTATTTAATTTTGTTCTCACTCCACCCTAACTCTTGTAGGTGCTTCCGGAAGAGTTAGAGGCAGAATTGAAAGAGGCAGCCATGATCTCCATGGGAACCGAAGTTAGCGAACTTGATCTGGAGAACATCAAAGACTTGTGCAACCAAGTTCTTTCCCTCTCAGAATACAGAGCACAACTCTATGACTACTTGAAGAGCAGAATGAACACAATTGCCCCAAATCTAACTGCCCTTGTTGGTGAACTCGTTGGTGCTCGACTAATAGCCCATGGAGGCAGCTTATTGAATTTGGCCAAGCAGCCTGGAAGCACTGTCCAGATACTTGGTGCTGAGAAGGCTCTTTTCAGAGCACTCAAGACAAAGCATGCTACACCAAAATATGGACTCATATATCACGCGTCTTTAATAGGTCAGGCAGCACCAAAGCACAAGGGTAAAATTTCACGGTCTTTGGCTGCAAAAGCTGCTCTGGCAATTAGATGTGATGCACTTGGTGATGGTGAGGATAATTCCATGGGCTTGGAGAACAGAGCCAAGGTAATTTTATCGTTTGATTCAGTTATTTATTTGTATTTTCATTTTTCATTTTATTATTAGTAAATGTTGTTAAATTCATTTTTTAGCTTGAGGCAAGACTGAGAAGCTTAGAAGGCAAAGAACTAAGCCGTTCTGCAGGGTCTGCTAAAGGCAAACCGAAGATTGAGTTTTACGACAAGGACAGGAAGAAGGGATCTGGGGGATTGATTACTCCAGCCAAGGTCTGATTTCTTGTGCTGAAGATCATGAATATTATTTCTTCATCAATCTTGTTTAAAACTATTATTTATTTATTGTTATTTTGTTTTTTTTGCAGACTTACAATCCAACTGCGGATGCAATTTTAGGACTAACAGAATCTCTTTCGAAAGAAAACAAGGATGATGGGGCTGTGGCCGAGAAGGAAGTGATTGATGTGCCTGTTATGGATGAGGAGCAAAAGAGCAAGAAACGAAAGAAGAAGAAGAAGGACTCTGAAAATGGTGATGGTGCACAGCCCGAAAGTGAAGCTGTTGGGAAGAAGAGGAAACAATCAGAGCCAGAAACTGAAGTGGGCAGTGCTAATGCTGGCGAGAAGAAGAAAAAGAAGAGGAAACATGTGGAGGAAGGTGAGGAGACTCTCAAGAAGAAAGAGCAGAAGAAGAAGAAAAACAAAGAGTGAACATGCCATGTGTGTAATGTTAATGGGAAATTGGTCCTGACAATTTTGTTGCTCGAGTGAACGAGTGAAGTTATGAATGTAGTGGTACGTTAGGCCTTTCTGTTATGTGGATTGCAATCTGATAATGTTGACTTTTAAGTTGAAGTGGTTTCTCGTTTGTTTTGGGTGGGGGCTAAGTGTTGATATGCTGAAACAAATATTGTTTCAATCAACTAGTTATTTCAGTGTTCAGTGTCTTGTTTTAATCCAATTAGGGTTTGTTTGTTTGGTATGATTGGGATTCGGCTAAATTTTAGTATGTAGTGGATGGATTGTATTGTACGGATGAATTTTAATTCATATTTGTTAGATGTTTGTTAACCATGACAAAACTAGGATATGGAATCGCCATTGTTTTTTCATGCAGACTAAAAATTCGCATAAAATGTCCACTTCTAAATTCACAGGCACTAACAAATATGGATTGGTGGCAATTCAAGAATCAAATTTATTAAGAAATTATTGTTTATCATTTTGTCATAAACCAGGGATTTGAAGAGCAAGAACCAGGAAATGAAAGATTTGAACGAGAGATTTCTGAAGAAGGAAGCCAAGCCTGTGAAAAGGAAGATCGGTTTGGGAAATTCTCAGACGAAGGAAACGAGAGTGAAGTTTGGCATTGGGTTTGTCTAAAAGGATAATTTTAAAAATACACGGCGATTACACAAATATTGCAACACTACGAAGAGCAGCAATTATTTAGCAAATTTACCTAATGCATGGATTTTAATTGTGATAAAGCAAGATATCTATTACTGTCAGACAAATCGCTTGTAATCACGCCAAGTGGGATTAGAAAATGGAAAGTGTATTTCAACAGACAATCTATCTAAAGGAAAAAAGAGTTGATATTTGAAAATTCAAATATATGATAAAACACGAGAAAAAAATATACACAACATACACAATATTTCAAAATCAGTCACTGCTGATACTATACCAAGATAAACAGAAACAGAACATATACGTAACATAAGCATAAACACAAAATCAGTCACTGTTGATATTATAACAAGATAAACATATACATAACATAAACATAAACATAACATAAACAAAACATATGCATAACTTATACATAACATAAACAAAAATATAACATAAACAGAACATATACATAACGTATACACAACAAACACAGTATATGCACAGCCCTATTTTTTTAGGTGTTTGCGTGGAATTTTTTGATTGTTGTCGCCTGGGTCCGACTGAAAATGGCCCGAATCGGATGTGGAATCGGCCTTTTCATGTCGTTTTTTTCTGATGATATCCGGGTTCTTCGATTTCATTTTTTTTTTTTTTTTGTCGAAGTGCAACTTTTTTTGAACCAAACTAGATTTTCGCGGAGGCCGGAATCTTGTACGAGCTCTTGACCTTGGTGATCTTTTTTGATCTGACGAGCCTCTTCAATTGGACGGACATGATTTCTGAAAGTTTGTTGGGAGCGATTTCAAATAAGAGAGATATAAACGTAGGGACAAAGACTTCAACGATATGAACTTCGTATCATAACTATAGGTGTTGGATTTCAGTTGTACGAATCAATCGCACACGCAGCGGAATTTGAAAATTTTCTTACCAACAATGAAGATCCGACTATAGCTATTCGATTTGATCCCGGTGCAGATCCAACGCAGTGAATCCTTTCCGTGAAGATGCTAGGAATCCCCAGTCAAAAAGCAAGAAAGAGTTTTTGTGTTTTTACGGCGTCAATTATCTGATCCTTAATCTGATATGAGATAACCACCTATTTATAATTAGGCTAAACCTAATTATATGGGCTTTAGGACAATCTATAGCCCAATAGGCAGTTGGACCTAATCCAATTAATGATATAATGAAGTCTAAGTCCAGTTAAACTTAATCATATATTTTCTATCTAATAGAAAATAATCTCATTACTAAAATTAAATATTCCAATCCAATTGAATATTTAACATTCTCGATTCACTCTTAGACGGAAAATGGATTGCATATTGTGTGACCCTATAGGCCTTCATATATTGACATAAATCCAATTTATGATCCTTACGAAACTCCTAAACTGCGTCGAAGGACGAACTCCAAATATGAAGTACGTTTACATAGACAAAGCAAACTAACCTTTGGTGTAGAATTCAATAGTGATACGGTCCCTTCATTCACGAACCACTCGATTAAGCTTAGGACTTGAACGCGTGTCTATCCAAACAACTTAATCATTTTATCTCATCTTACTGGTTGATTTCAATTAATTATATTTGAACACTATTACAAATATAATCACGTGCATTGGCCAATGACTTTATCAACCCAGTATAGAGAAAACAAGTGTTCTCTCAAAACTATGTTCGAGGAATGAATCCTATCTTGGCTCAACTACCAATTCCATGTATATTGTGATCTACCCAACACAAGCCCGTGTCTACCCATAAGGGCGTAAGCCTTGGACTAAGTCTAAGTAAATCACCCTATACATGAATTGCGTATTAACCTCAAGTCAAAGGACTATTACTATAACATCCCGCTTATCAAAGTAAATTTTTCACAACTTTTACTTCGAAAATACTTATAACTCTTTCGAAATCTTTTGCGACTAACTCGGGATGCTACTCAACTCATCTTTTCTGGAAATTCGTTTATCTTTAAACTTTGTCTATTACCTCTTTATACATAAAGAAAAAAAGATTTAATTAAACTTGCATTTAACTATATCATATTCATACTTCTGAAATGATAAGAACTTGAAATCTGAAATTTATTAAAATGCAAGTTCAAGTCTTAATATGCGTAGCGGAAATACTTAAAACCGTGAATAATTATACAGACATATCAAGTTCATAATAAATGTCCACTGAAAGAAGTGCACGACCACCGCCACCACCTATCGAGCTCACACCTCCGGCCCGACCTTGTTACCTGAAAAACACAATGGGGGTGAGTACTGGTCCTCTTGTACTCCGAAATTCACCCATACTAAAGTAAGCATCGATAATAATACAATATCATGATCTTTGGTATATATCTGGACTGGAAATCTGTTCCAGTAACTTAAACTTAATCTGGCCGATATCTAATCGGATACCTGTGCACAATCTGATGGATATTTCTAAGGCAACTAATGGCCTCCATCAGAACTTAGGATGTACTGTTAAGGCAACTAGGAGCCTTCATCCCAAGAGTATAAACTTAAACTGTATACATACCTCGAACATGATATCAATATTATACTCAATGTAATACCCCGTCTGGGTCCCCACCTTTCTCCTTTGAAAAATCGTAAGTGTTGATCTCGAGTAGCTAACTCCTCAAGCTACATAAAAATATATAAACAAATATACTAAGTACTATGCTCGTATACTCAATAAGATGCTCGGATTCTCAACTCTTTTCGGATAACTCATCCAAATCTTATAAAATTTCAACATTCATGTTATTACTCAAACTTAACTTTTCTTAATCTTTTACTCAATCAAATACTTAACTCATCATATATCATATCTCCCAAATCTTATATATATTGGCCTATACTCATTTTTCACTTAATTAACTTGAAAGTGAAAATAAACTCATATCATACTCAATTTTTAATCATGATATTAATATGTGAGATTTAAAATAGTCTTTACAATATTATATACTCAACATATCAATTTAAAACTTTGTCAAATTGTTCATCACTTATATGAGAATTGTTCATAATAATCTCATCTTAACAACTTGAACATATCATAAATATTCTTGCATATATACTCATCTTTACATATATGCCATTTTGTTATCTTAACTTATTCATTTCTCATCTTCAAATCATGAAATTTAACAGTCATAATCTCCACTCATAATTAGACATGTCATAAAAATTTCATAATTTTATCATGCATATACATCAAGTTATTAGAATTTGAAGTTACAACTAAAACATTGAACATAAAATTCAGCATACATGTCCATCTTCAAATCTCTATTACTTAAGTTATACTATGCCAAATAACTTAATTCTTGTTCTCATGTACTCCTTTTTACATAAGAATCATTCATATAAAGCATACTTTTCCAGATTATTAATATCTTCATTAACATCTCATCAAATCAACTACATATATCATATAATTGATCTTGAACAACTTTAATTCTTTGTATTCATATAATCAATTATAACTTTAACTTCTCAATCATGATATACATACTTATAAACATCTAAACTTATTATCAAAGTATGAACTTAAGCATAAAACTTTAAGATAAGTGAATTACCTCCTTCTTGCCAAAATCGTAACTTGATCCTTCACTTCTTATTTCTTCACTTCTCCACAATTTTTACTACTTATCTCTCTCTCACTCTTATATATCTTTTGATACTTATCTTTGGAGTGAGAACTCTGATTTTTAGGCCTCTATTTATAGGCACAAATTGGCAATACATCATAATGGAGTGACTAAATGATCATAATAAATAATTTAAACTTATAAACTTATTTAATCATAAACTATTTTATGATTAACTTGTCTACACATCAAAAACTTAAATAATCATCAAAAATAGCCTTTGGTAGAGATCACAATCGGACTCTCAATGATCAAACAAAACTGTCGGCAACACAACTCGTGTGGCATGTCACACGACTCGTGTGGCTAGTCACACGACTCGTGTGGCTTCACACGACTCGTGTGGCTATGTCACACGACTCGTGTGAAAAAGCCGAAGCTAACTTTCACCTCCTCATCCTCCCACACGACTCGTGTGCCTTGTCACACGACTCGTGTGGCTTCACACGACTCGTGTGGCTCATTTCACACGACTCGTGTGGCTTGTTCCTTGAAAAACTCTTAATTTCGAACTTATAACTGAACACTGAGTCTCGAAATTAATCAAATCTTGGAACAACTACTGATACTTTATTAATAACTGAGAGGGATATTACAATCTACCCCCCTTAAAACTATTTCCGCCCTCGGAAATATTGAAACTGAGATACATACCTTCTGAGTCCATATCAAAACTTGAAGTCTGGAAAACGAGCTCTAATATCAGTCTCCCGTTCCCAAGTGGCATTTGACTCTCCGTGGCGATTCCATCTAATACGTACAAGGGGAATATCTCGCTTTCTGAGCCGATGAACTTTTCGGTCCAAAACTGCTACTGGCTGCTCTTCGTAAGTTAGATCAGGCTGAATCTGAATCTCATTGTGCTGAAGCACATGATCTGGATCGCTCACGTATGCACGTAACATTGATACATGAAAAACATTATGCACATTTGACAACTCAGGAGGTAAAGCTAAGCGATAAGACACTTCTCCAACTCTTTCCAGAACTTCAAATGGACCTATATAACGAGGATGCAACTTGCCTTTCTTCCCGAAACGAACGACACTTCTCATTGGTCGAACTTTCAA